AAGGACCAAGCCCTGCGGGACCCCACTGCCCACACCCTTCCAGGTCGAAACCGACCCATCCACCACGACTCTCTGGGTGCGACCCTCTAGCCAATTCTCTGCCCACCGGACTGTGTAGTCATCCAAGTCACAGCCTCTTAACTTGTTCACTAGTATGGGGTGGGATACCGTATCGAAGGCCTTCCTGAAGTCTAAGTATACGACAAACACCCCTACTCCTGTGTCCAGGTGTTTTGTAACCTGGTCATAAAAAGAGACTAGATTAGTCTCTTTTCTAGATTAGTCGGGCACGATCTTCCTGCCACGAACCTGTGCTGGTTTCCCCTCAGCATAATTTGTCCTGCTGGGCTCTCGCATATGTCAGCGTTGATAATTTTTTCAAAGACTTTGCCAAGGATGGAGGTGAGACTGACTGGCCTATAGTTGCCCGGGTCCTCCTTCCTCCCCTTCTTGAAAATGGGGACCACATTGGCCCTTTTCCAGTCCTCCGGGACTTTGCCCGTGTGCCACGAGCGTTCAAATATTCCCGCCAGTGGCTCTGCAATGATGTCAGCCAGTGCCTTCAGCACCCTCGGATGGAGCTCATCCGGGCCTGCCGACTTAAACGCATCCAGTTCTTCCGAGTGCCTCTGCACCATCTCAGGGTCTACGCATGGCAGTCTGGCGCCTTGCTGCTGCCTCTCCACAACCCCAGTGAGAGACTTGTCGCGCCCCTCGCTTAGGAACACTGAAGCAAAGAACTCGTTGAGGAGTTCAGCCTTGTCCCTCGTGTCCGTCACCAATTGCTTCTGCCCATTTATCAGGGGTCTTATTCCTCCCTGGGCCTTCCTTTTACACCCTATATATCTAAAAAACAATTTCTTGTTGTCCTTTACTTGGGATGCCATCCTTAGCTCCATGGTAGCTTTGGCCCGTCTAACTGCCTCCCTACAAGCGCGCATCATTTATGAATATTACTATTATTACTAGAATAATTATTAATTTAATCCTTACCATGCACAGAATTACTTGAGATAATTGTCCTCACAAGATACAAAAGAGCACAATCATTAGGAAAAAGGAACCAGGGTCAGGCCAGGGTCCAGCACCTCATATCTTTGGGCAGCCACCAGCAAAAGGCAGACAGCAAGGAAGGAAGGGAGGCTAAGAAAAGCAGACACATGCAATATTATGATTATCACCAGTATGAAAGTACAGTACCCTAAGACCAAAATGTCTTTCTCTTTATTTTGCTGTACCTGCTGGACCCAGCACCCATAAATGACAGTGCTGCTTTGTATGTGGATGGAGAGTACACCGAACACAAGTAAGGGAATAACATTATGTAGCCAAATTCTTTTACTACAAAAAAAGAGAAAAACAGAAAAAGGAACATTACATACATGCTCTCTGAAAAGAGCTAATGGAGCATATCTCAGAAAGAAGCTGCTTGGACTAGGTTGACCAAACTTTAGATGCTGATGTATTCACAGAATAGGAGGACGTGTCGACATCGTGGCGACAGAGGTTAATAGTGAATTCCCACTCGCTTTTTTCAGTAAAAGGATATTAAGAGTAGCAAAGAGGCACCTGGCAGTATCATTGCCAGCATTTTTATTGGAGATAGAAATGGCATCAGGCGAGTGTCTGAGGCTCCTGTTCTTCTCTTCTGCCTGCTGTGCATGGTGGGAGCAGCATATGAAACACAGCGTTCGGGAACTAGAAGTAGGAGGGAGGGGGAAGTTAAAAGCGTAAGACTTTGTGTTGTAAAACCACCCGCAGTCCCTCCAGCCCTGAAATGGGGGCACCCTCCTGTGCGCAAGCGGGAGGGGGATGGGGCACCAGGCGTGAGAAGGGGAGAAGGGTGTATCCCCCACCCTGCCTCGAAGACTTGCCCTGCGACTGCAGGACTTCATGATGTGGGATAGCTTGCACCAACACTAATGGCAATTAAACCCTATTTACATAAAAATGTAAGTAAACAATGCGAGCCACTCTCCCTCAGGGCACAGTCAAGTGTCTCACTGACCTTTGCGTTGCTTGGGTTTCCTGTTTCAAGTGTTGCAAAAGCAGTCTCATCCTGCAGCTGCACTGACCGACATCAGCAGCCAGCACTGTTGTTGAACCGGTTGTGCCATGAGGGGCAAGTGGTCCTCTGGGCTGAGTCCCATTCTCTGTTCATGGATATGGTGCAGGCACCTGGATCCCTGCTCCATGACTTTATAGGCCCTCACAGGGGCAGCTCCCCGCCCCCACCCGGCCTCATTCTGTTATAAAAAAATTTTTTTTAAACCCCAGACAGTCAGCCACCAGCATGGAAAGCACGTGAAAACCCCCATGGGCTGCAAAAGTGCACAAAAAGCACAGTCCCCAAAAAACCACCAAAACAGAAGTCTTCCCTGTGCAAAAAGTAGTGGAGGAAAAATTTTGCTGGAGGCAGCTTTGTAAAGTGGGTGCGTGGGAGATGCAATGCTTGTATACACTTTTGTAGCCCTACGGTACCACTCACGCAGTGCCACACCCAGCCCCCAGTGCAAAACATGTGCAGGAAAAGAGGGAGGCTGTTGCAACAAGCACCAAAATAGCAAAGGAAATAGGGCAAGGCACGAGGCAGGCAGCCTCTTGGGTACTTTTGCACAAAAAGATTTCACCCACCAAACCCCCAGAATAAGCTAGGGGCAGAAGTGCAGTGCATGTGTAGCCCTAAGGGTACCCCACACCCAGTCAGTGCTGGTGCAAAAAGCATGCAAAAAAGGGGGAGGCAAAGCTGCTGTTGAATAAAGCACCCAGAAAAAGCAAGGAGAAGCCAGAATTGTGAAGGGGAGGCAGCAGGGTGCTTTCGCAAGGACAGATTTCACCCGCCAAACTCCCAAACACCCAGAAAAAGCAAGGGGAAGAAGTGAGTGAAGCCCTTTGGGAGGACTCTCCTGGGCATTTCTTGTCCGAAAATGCCACCTGGCAGCAAAGTAGTGCTGAAAGGGCAGGAGTGTAGAATTGTTCTGAAGTGACCCCCTAGCGCATTTTACTAGTTATAACATAATAAGCCATTGTGTGGTAAATCACATCCATGTTATTTATTTAGCTGCCTTAAGCTAAGAAAGAAAAATTAAACCAGGAACATTGTTAAAAACTAAATGCCAAGTATGTGTATAAGGGCCCAAAGTGCTCGAGGCAGCCTCTCTTTGAAGGGTTCAAGAGCCAGGAAGAGGAGTGGGGTGGCAGGCCTGTGTCAATCACTCGCTTTGCATTTGGGTTCCTTGGCTGGTCTGCTGCAGAGCCAGAGTCCTTGCTTGGTGCAGCTGGAGCTGGCAAGATTATTGCCATTCATGTAAGCGCAGAGTCCTTGGCCCAGTATCGGAAACCTGCCACAGCAACAAACTCAGTCAGCAGAAGCAGCGGGACAGCAGGGACTGGTGGTGAGACTCTGGCCCTTCAGACCCTTCTACCCCATTGAAGGATGGTGCACGGGAGCCACAAAGTGACGCAGCAGGAGCACACGGTGTGTGCTGCCCCTGAAAGGTTGTAACATGGCCATGTCAGGCGCACACCAACAGGACTCCGACTCAAGCACACACGCCAGAGCCCGCCCAGTGCCTGGCCAAGGCAGGACCATGGTTTCCCTTGGGGCACCGTGCACATACCATATACACAGTTCCCTGGCACTGCCCTTCGACAGCTCAGATGAGCCCAGGGTGTCTGAGTTTAGATCCCACAAAAACCTGCAGCAGAACCAGGAGTCTCAGCCCAGGCTCTGTGCTGCAAAGAGACCACCTCTTCCAGCCTCTGGGCTACAGCTTGGACACAACTCACAGGTCTAAAAGGGACTCACCAGTGAGTGAAGTTGGTGCCATCGGCCCATTGCCAGGGCTGGCCTGAGTCCCTCCGGAGGCCAATCCAGGAGGCTGAGCGTCCTTTATAGCGCATTAGAAAGGCCTGTGTCAGAAAAACAAAGAGAGCAGACAGACATTACACAACTAAGCCACTGGCCTCTGACAGTCCGTGCTGATTCTCTGAGCGGGTACTCGACAGATGGTTCAGCCTGGGCCCGTTCTGCACTGAGAAGTGTCACTGCCTCTCACGGTCCTAGCCCGCGCTCCCCCAGGAGGGCAGTGCAGGCCTGCTCCCCCCATCCACCTGGGTCATACCACAGGAACACTTCTTGGCACAATGACTTGGGATGTTGGCTCAGAAGGGTTTTTGCAACAAAGACATGTTTCCCTAGAAGCGTCTTCGCAGAGAAGAACACCACTTTCCTTGCAATGTTTCAGTTTTCCCCTGGGGAACTGTTTTGCTGTGTGTCAGCTCAGCACTAGCCCATGTGCAGCATCTGATCGGCTGTGCAGCCTCATGGATGTGGTAGGTCTGGGGGCCCCTGTCCCCAGACCCTCCTATGGGCCAGGCTCCCTGCCCAGGCTGTGTCTTAGTGATGCACGAGGGTTTCTCTATTGGCTGAGGCACCACTGAGCACCATGGGGGACACGGCCCGACCACGGGAGCACATAGGAGAGAGCAAAGCAAAGAGGAACCAACACCCCGGCCGTCAGGAGGCACCAGGGCAGCCGTTCAGTGCTGAAGCAAAGTGATCTGTCATGGTTGGATACAGCCAAGCACTTTGCTCTGGGAACATCCAAGAAAGGAAAAAAAACAATAATTCCGAATTAAGAGAAATTCCTGCATTTCCAGATGCATTTTGGAGCATGTTGGGGTGAGCTGACAGATGTGGCATTTCAGCTTCCTGCCCAGGGCAGAACATGGGATCTCCATCACGTGGAGCACACTGCTTCTTCTCAGCCCGGCCATCCTTTGAGTGCTGGCCTCAGCTCTTTCCCACCCCGTCACATGCCTGCACTGTCTACAGCTGTCAAGGTTTTACTGCGGAGCTCACTGAATTTGTTACTTCCTTTGAGCTCTGGCTCCTGGCATCAGGCAGTTAGTTATGAAAGAGCTCCAGGTCTATTAAAAATATATGAAAAACGTTATTAAAAAAATCCCCCAAAACCAAGCGATTTCAGCCAATGCCAGGATTCTGGGGGACCAAACTCCTCATGTTCAAGATTGGCAACACTGATCCCACCTTCTAGAAAGGATGGGAAGCAGCTGGATTCCCCCAGCTGGGAGATCCCTAGAGGAGAGAGGGTCAGTACAGCAGCCCTACCTCTCTCCTGCCACCATGTGTAAGGCAAGGGCACAGGGGAGTGTGCCTGGAGCAGTGCAGAGCACCCCCGTTTCCCCAGCGCCGGGTGGAAGGTGCTGCACACTAGAGCTGCCCCAGGGGCCAACTAAGTTGGGCACAAAACAAGCTTTGCACAACCTGCCCCGGGCAAGGCCTGCTGAGCGGTGCCACCCAGGACTTGCGCCTCTCACCATTTCCTTCTCATTGTCAATCCTGGCCAGGGAGGCACCGAGAGAAGAGCAGTTGCTCTGGCTGGAGTCCCAGCTCCCCTTGGCCTCGGAGAAATAGTAACATCTCCCCAGGTACTCGATCCAGCCAGCAGGACAGGACAGCACGGGGATGGCAGGAGCAGCTGGATGCTGTTCAGGCCTCTTTGCTGGGGACAGAAAAAGAACAGGGTGAGATATTTGCCCTTCTGTAACCAGGAAACAAGCCCTCAGTGGCGACATAGTGCAGATCCCCCCTCTGAACACTGACACGCTGCACTACGAGTCCCTGGGCTCATTCCTGGGAGGCCTCCCTCCCTCGCCAACCCACAGGGCTAGCACTGCCTGTAGCTCCCAAGGGGACAGCCTCAAATCGAGACCCATGTTTTCAACCCCACCCTCCTTGGCAGGAGCTGCAGTTTGGTGCCTGCATGCGAGGTGCCCGACTGAGCCTGCACATCTGCTCAGAGGGTCCTGTGCCTGTGTCAGCACCATGGGGGCAGAGAACAAGGGCACGGTGCAGGGCTGGCACAGAGCTGCTCTCCAAACACCTCAATGCAGGGAGCCCCAAGAGGATTAAACAACCGGTCACATAGCCTCCTTACCCAGGTAGAGTGGCGGCCCCCAAAGAATTTTTTTGTGTGAGAAACCTGCTCCAGAGAAGACCTGCCCGGCGACCAGCCGGGTGCCGGTAATACCATCGGCCACCTAACGAGGGTGGCCCAAAGAGCCCTAAAGACTCTATGTTTTAACAATAGTACCGCGGGATGCTGCAACTGCCCTGTACCTGCAGGAGCAGCATCCTGCCTCAGGCTGGTCAGCAAGCTTTAAGAACGAAGGCTGACATCATGTCCCTCACTTGGGCAATGCTTCTGAGCAAGCGTCTGGCTGTTTCTCCTGGCCACCACTATGTGTGCAGATCCCCTCAGGGCTCCAGGGGTCCCCTCTCCGCAAAACACGGCCAATCTCCAGGCTTTGTAGGCCAGATAAAAATCACTCTGCAGGCTGGATGCAGCCTGCAGGCGGTGGGCTACCAACCCACACTCTACAACATCCAGGTTTAGCACACACCGTGCAACCACAGCTCCGGCTTCTCCAGCCTTCCTGGATGCAGGATGGAGTTTAGCGAGTTTATGGAAGGGAAGAGATGGCACAGCCACCAAGGGCCCAGTGACCCCCGCTACTGCATCTATACTCTAGCTCGAGTGACCGTATTTCCCCAGGTCTCAAAACGGGACAACCTGACAATGCCAGATCTGACTCCTGAGGCAGAGATGAGTTCTGGGAATGAAGGGCAGAGGAAAAAGCATCTGTGTGACAGACACAGGCCTGAATTAGGTGGGGTCAGTGCAGGCTCTTCACTCACCCGAGCGTGCGATGAGGGGAATTGCAAGACAGAGATTGAGAGCCACACTCAGAATCAGCAAGCAATACATCCATGGCGAGACCGTGGCCGGGCAGCCTGAAAGAAAAATAACTAGGAACTGTGCATGATGTCTCTGCACCAGAAGGAGAATGGACTTAATTATACTGGGAGAAGGAACAGCAGGACCTGAAGGCGAAGGTAGGGGCACTTGTGGGAGGGACACATGTGAAATTCTGATAGAAAACATTTAAAAGAATTAAAATAATGTCAAATGGAAAAGCAATCACACCACTGTCCTTAACAGCAGAAATCTTTGGTTCCTAGTTTTCAATAACTGGCCCTGCTCCCTTACAAGCAATTAGTCAAAGAGCAGTTGCAGCGGGAGACGGTAAGGATGGGACATCTGGGAACAAAATCCAGAGGCCAACTCCTTCACTGGACCCAGCCCCAGCTGATTTTAGTTCTGTGCATGAAGCAGCCACTACTAGAGGAGGGGGAGGCCTGAGCTCTGCTCCTGGTCCTGACACCTGGGCAGGGGGAAAGCAGAACATCACAGGACAGGACTGTACCTTGAGGAGACTTTGTGCTTCTCTCTCCACCCTGCCAAGGGATGGTCACGTGAGTCTGTCCTTTTCCTTTCTGAGAGTCTTCCTGGAAATATGTAGGCTCAGCCTTGGCACAGGATCCATTCTCCCTCTTTTTTTCCACTGCAGAAGGCATCAAATCGCAGTATGGGGGCATGGTGACCTGATGCACCCTGAGGACTCAGCTCGAGCTAATGCACCTGGGCCTGGTAGTATGGGCAGAGCCCTTGCAAGACAATTTCAAAGCCACTGACACAACTGTGGCTCAGGTACGGCTCAGCTATGTGGGGTGATCCGAGAAAATACTTTTCAAATGCAATTTGTACTTGTGTTTTACCCAGCCATGCACACCCACTGAGCTGTGTCTGGGCTGAAGTTGAATGAATGGCTTCAGAACTCTCCAGCGCACTGCTCGGAGCTCCAGAGCTGACAGGGTCTTGGAAAATGCTGCCACCACCCGACACGGCTGGCTGCAGCAACTTCACCCCGTTCTCTTCTGCTGCAGTCCCCTGGCTGGTCTGTACCAGAGGAGTTACCTGTATGGAGAGATAGCACGTGTACTCAGGGTCACTGCACCTGATCTTCAGGTAGGTGGTTTCATTGCCTGTTAGGGCACTTCATGGAGCAGCAGGGGCACCCCTCCCAGCTACATGCCCCTGCTGCCAAAACACCAGTGAGGACAGAGCAGAGCCTCAGACCACACCTGGCCCAGCCCCACCTGATAGCAGCCAGGATTACCAACCCCATGGCAGGCAGGGATGGCCCTGGGGACACACCGATGTAACCCTGCTGCTCCTGCACCCATGTGACAACCTTTAGGTGGATGCATCTACACATGCAGTAAGTGCACAAGAATAAACTACAGAGCTTACTGCTCCAGAGTTTTTGGCTCCTGCGCATGCTGTTTGAACATGTGTCTGGGAGCAATTAACCCCAGAGCGCTCAGCTCTACAGTTTATTCATGTGCAGCAAGTGGAGCCCAGTTACAGCAACCCCACCTGGGAGAGGCTCCAGAGGAGGCGGGTGCAGCCTGCCAGCCTGAGGCTGTCCAACCTGGTTTCACACGCTGCAGAGTGGCTGCCTGAGGCACGAGGGTGCTTCACTGTGAGGCTAGCCTGTAGGTAACTCCTGCACTGAAGCTCCCTTGTGCCCCATCCAGCTGGATCAGGGTCTACATGTGCGCTGCTGCTGCTCACAAGAAGACTCTGCAGCAGGGTAGTGCTTGTAACTACACGTACTATCCTGCCGTGGGGTTTTCAGTTTCCTGCACCCTCGCAGGGGTGCACATGTAGATGCCGAGACATTTCCTGCAGAGCTAATTAGTCAGTTCCACAGTAAAGGTTCCCAGTGGTGTTTATTTCCATACCCCCACTGGTATGCAAGGTCAGATTGTGGGGTACTGCATCTCTTATCTGTATATCCACACTGGTACACATGGGGCAAGGGAGGGAACAACTCTTTTCAGCTTGTTGTGACTGATATCATTACATGTTTTAACTGCTTTTAACAGTTTGAGGACAAGCGGCCTGGGGAGACAGTCTTGTATGCACTGGCCCTGCTTTCCAAGAGTGTGAAGTTCATATGGGGACAGATGATGAATGGGAAATTTGGGTCAAAGTTGCCAAGGCCACCACGCACCACGACTTGTGTGGAAGCCTGGGGTGGGGACCCTCAGCTCAGGGATCACAGGAAGAGGAAAGGGCAAGTCTTGGATGTGGTGTTTTATTTCACCATTCAGCCACAAAGAGATAAAAGTTGTTAATGGGCAAATCTCTCCAGTGGGTTAAGGCCGAGCCTGTTGCCCATGGAAGTCCTTAGGCTACTGGTAGGTCAGGGAGGAGCCTGGACCTGCGGGACTGAAAGAGCTGAGAACTGCGAGGCTGGTGGAGATCTGAACATGGGAGACTGGTGCCTCGAGTCAGGGGGGTCATGTGC